GAACAGCCTCCGAATCGAGTCATCCTCCCAACTGGACTAGAAGCAAACATTTTAAGAATCAGAGATCCTGTCTTCAGGCCAGCAGAAAACAAAAAGATCTCGCAGAAAATGTACAGTCAATGCTTTCTCGACCTTGAAATCTTGCTTTTGTTTTATGGGACAAAGGCCATTAAAATAGTGGGAGCAAGAGACCCCACTCAAATTTTTTTTTCTTTATGTGATGAATGGGGAGGGCAGCAGAGTCACCCATGCTCACACAGTTGGGACTAACAAAACCAGCGCCTGTGGCTTGGGGAATGAAAGCATGAAAGTCTCTGCATGTGAGAAAGGAAGCCGTGTACAGATACAAAGAGAAAGGATTAACACATTCATCAGGAGTGTTATCAATTGGAAAATTAAAAAATTTCCACTGCACACACCTGAAACCTTTCCCCCTACCCCCCTGCTCCTCAAACCGCAGTTTAGCCAAACACTCTGAAAAACAGTCTGCAACTTGCTGAGAACATCTGGAAGATAAAAGGTTACAACATCGGTCCTATGCTGTATGACTTTGACAAGCAACAATGACAGAAAGTACATCTCCACCAGGTAACACAAGCTATGCAAGATTTAATGTTTGGGGATGTGCCCTGTCAGCATTTGACAATAACCAGCTACAAACTTTCAGTGCAATTTACTGTCCATGATATTCAAGGAAGATATGCTTCAAATGTCATGCTACCCATGGCCCATTCACTCATGTGGACCACAGTGTCTTCTGCCACGTCAAAGGTCAAAATCAAAAACAGTATTTCCACTGCAATTCATCAGCAGACATAGGCTGGAGCCAACAAACCAGGAACAAATTCAGGAAAGCCCACAGGCATATGGCAGGAATTGCCCGTTTAACATGGCTAGAAAGGGATCGTCAGCACCCAAGCCCAGTGAGAACCCTTAGTTTTGGTTTTACTCCCAGCTTTCCTATTGCCTCCTCCTCCAAGGCAGACCAAAATATGCCAGTCAAGAATCTAGGTACACGCTTGTCAGACACAAATCTCACCTCCTCTGCTTCCAGTCTACAAGAACAAGGACAACAACAGCTAGCCCTCATGGCCCTCCCCTGGGAACACAAGCCCCAGATCCCTGCTTCAGAAGTGCAATGGTGAACCTTGGTGTTCACCTCCAGCCACTCTACACCAAGACAACTCGAGCTGCTCTTGCAGTTTAAAGAGAACACAGGACTATTAACTGAGACTTGTCGCAGGTCCTGGGACTAACCCACAACTGAAGAGCTCGTGGCTCTTTTGAAAGTTCCCTTCCCCTCAAATCAGGATTTCTAATGCAAGGTCTAACAGCCATCTCACTAGAGAAGGGTTCAGCCAGCACTTTTCATCCAACTCAACCTTGATATGGTATTTAACACAATAAATAAACCAGAAAGCATCAAGTACTGTCATAGCTACAAGTCGTAGAGGGGATGGTGCAAGAGAGAATGCTAAACTGGAACCACCACCTGAGACTCTGGGCATGCCTGAGAAGGACGGCACAGGGCTGTGTGCGACACCACACTGACCCAGCAAAGCAAGGTTATGTCAAACTGGTGGCCGGATGGCTGCAGGCAAGCCGCAGATTGCCAGGTTCCACCAGGGCCGCAGCACAAACCAGTCACTCGCATCAAGGAAAATTACCTTAGTCGTGAAAACAGCGAGTTCTCCAACATTCACAGTGCACAAAACTGCAAAGAAAGCCACAGTACCATGTGGACAAGGGAAGAAACAAAGCGCACAAGACATGACAGAGCTCAGGGATGACAAAGACTCCTGGCCTAAAACAGATGGAGAAGTTCCCAGTCAGGCAGCTGGACCAATCTGATATTTCA